GACTTTAGGATTACTTGAAGAGAGGTGACACAACCAGAGTTTGGAAGTTGACGATGGTTTTAATCTTTCCGTTGAGGTTACAAACTCCTCTTAGGTATCTCAGATCTCAAGGCGTAACTGTGAAACTAGTTACAAGAGGTTCTATTTATATTGAACTATTAAGTTAATTGATTTTTTACAGTTTTACATGGCATTCATATGCAAGGAAAAAGTGTTAGTAAGTGTCTGAGTTTAGAAAACAAAAGGAACTGAAATTGAGTTGATTCCCACTACGCGTGGAAGAAATTTGCAAAACTAGAAATATCTCTATACCCAAATTCCTCTACAGGGAGCCAAAACCATAGTTTGAAAGAAACTAAATTTTCCTAAGATTGTGTCGAAAGAAATTTTAGTTTGAGATCAGAAAAGTAAGTGAAATTTGGCTAAAACTGGTTCAACAGAGAACAAAGAACTCGAAAGGTGTTATGACGCGTGGCCTTAGGTTAGATTTTAATGAGATAGGAAATCTGATTATGATTCAAGTTTGGAAGCGAAAGTGAGAACCAACTCCAGGTTTAAGTAAACGAACTTCGTTAACAGGAAACGCTTGTTTTCCTATCCCACAGCTGAATACCTCTACCTATTTCTATCTTTTTTGAACTTGTTTGCGTGTTTCTTGAGTAAGCTTGAAGGGGTGTTTCTTAACCTAAGTTAAACCTTTAGTTGTGAAAGACTGAAACTACATTTATGATGTTGCTGCAATTACCGTGCGTCCAACTTCCATTTTTGATTGATCCCAACACCAAAGAGGTCGGAGCAAAAATCTTTTAGCAAAGGACTTAACTGACCAGCAAAGGTTTTCTAGTAAAAACTAAAGTGTGTCCAGCTGTTCTGCAAAGGTTTGCTAGTAAAAACTAAAGTGGGTCCAGCTGTTCTGAGAGCTTGTAAACACCATCCTTTGTCCCGTAACAAAAAATATTTGAGATACGGTGGAACTTTTGATTTCTGAACCGACCTAAAAACAAATTTATTTATTTGATATATACCCCTGAATAAAGTCAAAATGTCCAACACCGAAATGAATAGAATCCATATTAGCGAGCTGAGGACCGGAAGCAAGATTGAGAGACTCAACTTGTGTTAATTTCTGGCAAAACGTTTGGACTAATAGTGTTTGTTTTAGTTCCTTAATCTGGGAACCAGCACCTACTTCTCCTTCCAGTCCTTTACTCTGATTGAACTTAGTATGTAAACACCCTATTCCTAAAACAAGATAAATCAAAACCGTTGATCATACAGAAGTCCAAGTCCTCAACACAAATTAGTTGTTTTCATTCAACCCCTGTTCAGTAAGAGGCGGCTCCTTTTGACTCCTGGTTTGTCACAAAAAAAACCTATTATTATCATTGTTATTATTATTATTATTCCTATCATTACGATACTAAGTTTACGTGTTTTTTGTGTTTTATACTTTTAATTTTTTTTTTTTGAATTTTTCCCCCCAAATTTTATCTCTTATCATAGACTGAATAAATATGATCCCTCAGTGAAAACATTCCCCAATATAAATACTTGAAAGGTAAAATGATAAAATATTTGAAACTTAAAATGATTAGTATAGGTAATAGCATGATTTGTACGTGATATTTGGCATAAATACCACGAGTGATATTTCGAAATTGTTATACGTAATTTCACGAGCCGTTAGGCGAGTGAACTTTGAGACAATTTTGAAATATCACAGGTGGTATTTATGCCAAATATCACGTACAAATCATGCTATTATTTGTTTATACTACTACCCTCAAAAGGTTTGTAATTTTCACGTGTTGTTATTTCAAATTAAGCTGAAATACCACTGCTCTAAGCCAATCAAATTGCAGAAATTTCTCATGCAGTAGTATAAACAGGTTAAAAGGAAGGGACAAAATGTGTAGACACTTAAACTTCAACTCCTTTAATTCTATGACTTGAGGTTGAATCGGCACTTCTGCCGCATCTCGCTCTGACATTTTTGTCATCCTTCGTTTGAAGTGGTCCTCAATGCGACTATAGCTCTACCCAACAACGCGACGTCATGTTTGTTTGCTCGAGAGACCTTTGTCCTAAACACATAGTAAAATAGTGAACACAAAATAAATAAAGATTCAAATAGAAAATAAAATGTTCGAAAAATGTGTTTCTACACGTGCCTTATGGGCTGTTTCATCTTTTTTCCTCGTTTAGAACATACAGGACAGTATGTCATGAATTCGTTTTAGCGACTATTAACTTAATGTTTAAGACTAATGGAATACTAATATCAAAGTGCATGTGACCCATTATTAATTATTATTTCTAGTTTGTTTCGTAAAAAGTTTCTACTTCATCTGGTGTGAACGCGTACGATCCTGCCAGGAATGTTTTGGCGAAGGTGCTGCCGAAGCTGTACCCGCTCGGTGGGCTGTAAGTATAGCCAAGCCAGCTGAAAGAATTGCTATTGGATGACGCGTAGTTGGAAATGTGAACGTCATGTCCTCCTCCAAATGAAGGTCCACGCGATGGGACACAGTATATAGAATGTGCTCTTTGTGAACCATATTTCCCTGTCTGAGGCAGTTTAACAGGTGCCCATCCTGGTTTGTTCACCAGTGAAAACAAGAATGCTTTGGAGTCGTACTGCCACCCACTGCTGGAATCTATCAGTGACAAATTAAAGATGGAACCAAGTGTAATTAGCGCCGTTTGTTCTGATACTCACTTTAGAAATTATTTCACCCGTCAAGTGCATTGACTCTGAAGAAACAAGCTTTCTAATTTGAAACGAGTTTGAGTCTGACATGTTCCATTTGTATTTGTAGGACAAGTACAAACATTTTAAAACCAAATTAACAACAACAACAACAACAACAAAAAACAAAGAAACAAAAAATGCGCAAAAAACAAACAAACAAACAAACAAAAAGCACTAATCAAACGACGGTTGTTTGAGCAAAAATCTGTCGGAAAGAAGTTCAATTAATTGATCTACAAAAAAACACTCTTTATTCCAGAAAATATTTATATTCATCATATTTTAACTGAACAAATTAACCGACGGATGTACAATTAAAATAAATGGTAAATTCACTCAAACGCAGTTTACACACTAAATTGCCACCAGGTTTGAAGTTCTCGTTTGAACTGACTCATGAACTTTTTAATTCAGTTTTTCTTATCAAAGTACAAATAGTTGATGTAGCAGGCTCCATTGCCTTAAAAATGTTTGTATTTTATTCGTATTTTTTTACTCCATTCTATAGATAATACTTTATTTGTACAATAAATTAGCAGGAGGATGTTTAAACTACGTGTACATAATTATATATAATGTTAGCAAGAAAATTTAGAATGTCGAAGGGCACATTATAGTAAAACTAATTATCACCCTTTAACAGGCCTTAAAAGTACAAACGTTTGGTACAGAAATTGTATCTAAAGGCTTCCCAAAACTTTTTAAAAATAATCCGTTCATCACAATTGGCCTGATAGTCCAGTCAGTCTAGGTATTTTTGAGGCTCAACATCAAACTAATTGCAACAGAATTGTTTTCAACGCCTTTTAAGTAAGGGTGGCCTATCTAGCAACATACTAAAAATCCGCCAAAATCCGTTCGGTGGAACATGTCAAAATTAAGCGTTAAACATTTTGAGCTTTTAGCACATGGAACCCACGTTAGTTGAAATTAAACGTTCAAACAAAAAAAGCGCAAAATGTGTTTGTTACTTTTATGGAAAGTGAAAGAAGAAAGAATAACTGCTACCTAGCTTTTGGGGATAAAAACGACGATCTTAGTTTGTTCGGTACGTTCTCAAAAATCTAGCAAGGTAATACTTTGCAGGCTTTTATGATATACCAGTTTCACGTTTTCTTCTTGTTAAAAGTGAATGGAGAGGAGGGGAGAATAGTTTAACTAATCCTTTACGATGTACAACAATGCAGAGTTTTTGAGCAGGTTAAGCTCCAATGCCTATGAATTTGATAAAAGGGAAGTGCGTTTTCATCTAAGGAAAAGTGTTGTTACCTTCGCAAAAAAATTATAAAGGTTAACGGAACATTCATCGCATAAGAACTTTGGTTCCAGCAAACGTTTGCTTCAAGAAAACGAAATAGTATAATAGAGAATCTGCTTTTTAAGAGAAACACAAACTCTGAGTAGCAAAAACAATGCGTATGTAAAAATATATTGTAAGAGTCTATGGAGTAATGGAAATTCCCCGCGCAGAGCATAATTTACGCAACTCAGTCATAAGGTTAACATGCAGTAAGTTGAAGTGTTACACAACGCACATCCGAAGAGAAACATAGGTTCCGCAAAAAAAGGGGAGCCAGCTAAGTCAGGCAAGCCCATTAATGTTGTACATGTGTCCAGTACTTTTGGGCGTTCATTGACCACTGCAATTATTTTAAGACGTATAGGATTCCATGATCGTTAAGAAAAAGAGGTCTGTGTGAGATTATAACATTGCGTGACAATTAAGATGGACACTTAATTATCGTGGTAGTGATCGGAATGTATATCATTAAGGGATCAATTTCAGTACCTGGTTTTTAAGCATGTTATCTGAATTTTTTTAGTTAGTTGGGTTTAGATTTCGTGTGTACCTTTGGCAGTGAACTTTTCCTATTTAGAATAAACCCTTGAAACTGTGAAATCGTGAAGTTTCTGCGTTAGCATTCACGACAGGTCTTCATTTGCCAATGGACGAGAAAAAACTGGTCAAGGTTCATGGTTGTTCTCAGAAAAGAAATGCAAGGAGGGAATATAAACGCCTTTAGACCACAGAGCGATTAATCTACTTATTCATCTTACCAAGAAATGAAGGACTGACGCAGAAAATACAAACTGACAAAGATACACTAAACTAAACTGAGATCTGAGACTCGCTACAAGAAGAAGATTTAAAAAAAAAGAACAATCATACTGCGCTTGGGTTTCTGGATTTCCCATGTGTAATGAAAAGCGCAGACCGTTACGATCAAGCAAAAACCAAATAGACGGAGTCCTTAGCAGAATATTTATTCACTCACATTGTAAAGTACAGAGTCGCAATCATAAAGGAGGTTGCTCATGTCCCGAGAAATAAAAAGAATCCCTGATTTCGATCACACATATTGTCCAAGATTTTTGAACAAAATGGGAATAGGATAAATAGTTGGTACTGATACAAAAGCTATCGTCCGTTGCAAACATTTAGTCGCACGTATCTTGCAGCATGGAATCAAATTAAGTAGCTGACTAAAGGTGAACAAAATATCAAATCAAATTGTTCACCATCAGTCAGCTACGCTGAATATCCATGCTGCAAAATATCAAAAAAATTACAAGCCTGATGTAAAACTGCTCATACTTACTGCATTTCAGTGATATTGCGCAAAAACCATGTTAACAAAGACTGACTAATAATTTCCATTTTAAATACCGTCATAGAAAAAACAATTAAAGCTTGGAAAACAGAATGTGAGACAGACGAGTGGCTGGGTAACCTGTGCNACCAAGAAATGAAGGACTGACGCAGAAAATACAAACTGACAAAGATACACTAAACTAAACTGAGATCTGAGACTCGCTACAAGAAGAAGATTTAAAAAAAAAGAACAATCATACTGCGCTTGGGTTTCTGGATTTCCCATGTGTAATGAAAAGCGCAGACCGTTACGATCAAGCAAAAACCAAATAGACGGAGTCCTTAGCAGAATATTTATTCACTCACATTGTAAAGTACAGAGTCGCAATCATAAAGGAGGTTGCTCATGTCCCGAGAAATAAAAAGAATCCCTGATTTCGATCACACATATTGTCCAAGATTTTTGAACAAAATGGGAATAGGATAAATAGTTGGTACTGATACAAAAGCTATCGTCCGTTGCAAACATTTAGTCGCACGTATCTTGCAGCATGGAATCAAATTAAGTAGCTGACTAAAGGTGAACAAAATATCAAATCAAATTGTTCACCATCAGTCAGCTACGCTGAATATCCATGCTGCAAAATATCAAAAAAATTACAAGCCTGATGTAAAACTGCTCATACTTACTGCATTTCAGTGATATTGCGCAAAAACCATGTTAACAAAGACTGACTAATAATTTCCATTTTAAATACCGTCATAGAAAAAACAATTAAAGCTTGGAAAACAGAATGTGAGACAGACGAGTGGCTGGGTAACCTGTGCAAAGCCCTCAAGACGAAACACTGACCCCTGTGTTTCTCACACATTTTGTCGGCGGTTTTTAAAACAAAACTACCCAAAAAACATTAGCGATGTTCCATCGAAAATTCTTGAGAAAAAAGAACACAATTATCAGACCAACCTCGTTCCCAGGGTAGGAGAGAACCCTGGGAACGAGGTTGTTATCAGACTTGAATTTGTGATCTTCCTGAAATTGTGTGTCCTGTGGTGAAAGTTGAAAATATTTATTGCCAATTTTTCACATCTTTCACCGAAACTGATTTTGGCGGATTTTTAGTATGTTGTTAAATAGCCATCCAACAATTTAATGGCGTTGAAAAAAATCTGTTGCAATTACTTTAATGCTAAACCACAATTTGACTGGACTATGATTTAGCATGCTGTATTTGCAGCCTGGAATCCCCAGCTAAATGATTATAATATTTATAGCCGTATAAGTACTTTTTAGGTTCAAATGAAGCTTACTAATGATGAGAATCGTCTTTAAATTCAGGAAGTAGTGATGATACGAGAGGATAAGGGGCGGAGTGAGGCTAGAACAAGATCTAAGAAAAGTGAAAAAAACATCCATTCAATCTGTGCATCCAAAGGCTGGATAGTTTTGATGATGCTCGTCCTCGTTTCCTTTGCGTAACTCGCCTCCCACCATCCGAAGACCGCGCTCTACTATCTGAACGCCTGGATCAGCCTATCTCAACAACAAAAACTTACCCCATGAAACACTGGTGTATCCTCCGAAAATATATTTTCCAACTCTTATTATTGTTACAGTCGGTCCCTTGCCATCACATCGTGAGTGAAATGTACTTGCAGCCCAGCCGTCCACAGATGCATGCCAACAGCGCTTCCAGGGCGAATTCACGCTTCGTGCCACTGGAGACAGCCAGCTTCTTAAAGTCCTCAAGTAATTTATGCTGTTTCCCACAATAACGGAGTCTTCTAAATCTGAACAAATATCAACAAGCATTAAAAATGGCGTGATGACAACTGATGGCTCAGACGTCAATATCAATTATGTTGACTTTTCAACGGTATAAAAAAAAAAAAGACTGAGGTAGTAAAATTTTGACCTTATTACACCAAGAGATATGACAGGCAGGCCCACATTCCATACATTTCTAATACAGTAAACACCTGCGAATAAGAACCTGTTAATCAAGAAGCCCCTGGCAAACATTTGCCACTTTAGTAGCCAAAAATACAAGAACCAGTTAAGCCAACCAAGATCAAGCAGGTTATACTAACAGCTATAGACAAGTTTATGTGGTAAAGATAACTAGTAGGTGTCCCCAATTATCGTATGGATTTCCTTACGCTAGATCGTTTGACACATGAATAAAGTTTTTCCTCCATTTCGTTCGGTGATTGATTGATTGATTGATTGATTCAATCTTTCGTTCGTTCGTTCGTTCGTTCATTGATTCATTCTACCATTCTTAATAGATTAGTGATTATATGTAGGTTATTAAAATAAACAATTTAATCAAAGATTGTATAACTTTGAGATTGTAAATTTAAGTATAACGAGAAAATACTGTACTAAATATACATTCAGTTAACTCTCTCTCTCTTTCAATCGTTTTAGGCACCGTCCCTAATTAACTGTCCGTTCTAGAGACGAGTCAAGGAGGTGACTGCCCTAACCAAAGGGATGATTTTCTTTTCAAAACTTGGCTGGAAATGATTTCATTTGTTTGTTGAGTTCAGAAATAAGATGAGGGAGAAAAATATGTTACTTCAGGGTTATCTGTAATAATTAGCTCAAAGTGAGAAAGTCTGGCTTATAAGCTCATACATAAAAACGAACATCTAAGGGTACTCCCGAGGTACTGTGTTTACCAGAACGACTCTTTGCTTAAACAAAAGAGCATACCTAGC